CAGCCACTAGGATGGCTAGAATTTTTTTAAGAGGGGAGAGGATACAAAAAATAGCAAAGATGTGGAGAATTGGAACCCTTGTGCAGTGCAGGTGGGAATGTAATGGCCCAACCACTCTGGAAAACAGTTTGGTGGTCCCTCAAAATATAAAACATAGAATTACCATATGACCTAGCAATTCCACTCCTGGGTGTATTACCCAAGAGAACTGAAAACAGGTTCCCAAACGAATACTTGTATAGGAATGTTTATAGCAGCATTCTTCACAATACCCAAAAGGTGGAAACAGCCCAAGTGTCCATCAACAGACGAATGGATAAACATAATTTGGTAAGTCCATACAAAGGAATATTATTTCACCATAAAAAGGAATGAAGTACTGATACATGCTACAATGCAAAGAACCTTGAAACAATTATGTTAAGAGAGAGAAATCAGTCACAAATGGCTACCTATTGCCTGATTCCACGTATATACGAAATATCTAGAACAGGCAAATCTATGGAGACAGAAAGTAGATTAGTTGTTGCCAGGGGCCAGAGGCTGGGAAAAATGGGGTGTAACTACTAATGGGTATGAGGGTTTTTTGGTGAGGTGATGAATCTTTCTGGAATTAGTGGTGATGGCTGCATAACCCTGCAAATAACTAACAACCACTGAATTGTACATTTTAAAAGGATGAATTTTATGGTATGTGAATCATATCTCAATAAGCCTGTTATTTAAGAAAAGACTATGAGCAAAAAGGTGGAAGCCAGAGGGCTTGCAAACTCGGAAGAAGGTGGAAGGAGAGAGGGTCTCAGCATTTGGGGTAGGTCATTAGGGCTAGAGTAGAGAAAATCAGTAAAAATTATGTGGCCATGTGTATGTGTGTGTAGTGGTGTGATGCTGGCGATGTGTGTGTATGTAAATATACAAGGGCTTTTTTAAAAACAGGGTATCTTATTTTCAATTTTCAGCTGTTTATTGAATGCTTGGTCCAAATCATCAGCCAACTGTGCTACATGCAGAGCCTGGAATTGGTGGAATTTTGGGAGTGAAGGGCTTAGCTAGTGAACAAGGAAAAGGACAGTCACAAAGGAGACAAAGCAGATGGGAGACCCAGAAATCAGCAAAAGTCAAGAGTACAAAGGAGAATCTAAGCTCCCTAAGAATTCCTGAGTTTTTTTGTAGGGATCCTGTGCGTCTTACTTTAACAGGTCCTTTTAATTAAATCTTAAGAGGCAAGGTGCACTCAGCAAGTCCAAAGATGTGGGAGATATTTAAGAGGCTGACACCTGGGCCGCCTGCATCACTCATTTTCCGGTGGATTCTCATTGCCCTTAGAATAAAACTCCTCCCTGTGGCCTAGAAAGCCCTGAGTGGTCTGGCCCTTACCAGCTTTCCTGACTCATCTCTTATCATGTTTCTCTTTGCTCCAGTGACAATGCTCTTCTTATTGGTCCTTCTGTAGGCCAGGCTAAATTACCAGTGAAGGACCTGTAATGGTCCACCCCAAACCTTTTTTTGTGGCCAAAAGTTTCAGGGCTAGTTCCGCCTCGCTACTCAGGTCCAGCTCAAGTCTCACCTCCTCAGAGGCCTTCCCTGACCACCCAGTCCCTCCCATAACGCCCTGCTTCATGCTTTAAAAATTTTTTTTTCTTTTGTCGGGGAGGTAATTAGGTTTACATATTTATTTTTTTAGGGGAGGTACTGGGGATTGAACCCAGGATCTCTTGCATGCTAAGCATGCACTCTACCACTTAAGTTATACCCTCCCCTCTGCTTCGTGTTCTTCATAGCATTAATCACTAGCTCAAACTCTCTTGGATACTGATTTGTTCAATGGCTTATCATGAGTTCTCTCTGAAGGTAATCTCTGGGTCATGCAAACAGAAACTGGTCTAGATCTCTTCTTGCTCTGCAGCCCTGGAGTCCAGCACGGTGCTTGGACTAGCAAACAGTTGTTCCAGAAATATTTGCTGATGTCCTCCATTCACTGGACAAATATTATTTGAGCACCTGCTGTGTGTGAGGTTCTGTGTGCAAAGTTGGGCCCAAGAGACCCAGCCCCAGTCTTCAAAGGCCCCCTGGGCTGGTGGAGGACACAGCCAAGGCCAAGTCATGGTCTGCTGAGGTGCGAGGGTGAGTCCTGTCACTGGGGAAGTACAGGGTGTCATGGGAGCTCCTAATCCAGACTGTGGAGGGGAGGGGGTATCCGTGAAGGCCTTCTGGAGAAAATGAAAGCAGAGACATGAGGCTAAAAGAGTCGACTAAGGGGAAGGAGGGGAAAGGGTGACGTGTATTCCAGGCAGAGAGAACAGCATGTGCAGTGGCTCGGTGGGAAGAAAGCCCAGACATTAGAGGAATCAAAAGTGGTTCAGCCTGGCAAGATCCTAGCAGCAAATGGTAAAGGATGATGTTGAAAACACAAGCAGAGCCGGGCTGTGCAGGACCTTGCAAACTGAGCTAAGGAGTTGAGGAAAGCACTGGGGAGGGGTTTGAGCAGGGGAGTGGCACCATCAGATCTGTCAGCAGTAGCCAGCTCACTGTTCTTGTGGTATGAGGACTGGGTTGGAGACAACTAGACAGTGAAGAGGCCATGAAAGAAATGTAAGAGAAGAAATGGTAAGAGAAATGAACAGATTCCAGCAGTGTTTGGGAGACAGAATCAGGAGAATTCAGTCACTAATTAGTTTTTGGGGGGTGGGGATTGTTGGATAACGCCCAGATTTCTAGCTTAAGCTGGTGGTTGGTAGTGGTACTTACTAAACAGGGAAACCCAGGTTTAGGGGTAGGTGACAAAGTTCTGAGTGCAACAGGTTGAGTTTCAGGAAAGCACAGGGCACTCAAGTCAGCATTTGGATTATTCTGTTTCTCAAGGGCAAAAGCCCTGACTTATTTATCTGTGTGCTCCCAGTCTCATTAGGCCCTGGCCCACAGAACACCAAAGTGTGCAGAGAACCACAGAAAACAGCAAACAGAGCCAGCCTTGATAACTGACTGGAGGACAGGTTTCAGGGAAACCCCACAGGGCAGAGAAAAATTTAGGAGCCTGAGTGTCTCACTTAGGATGGGCTAGGTTATGCTGCTCTGATTAACCAACCCACATCTCCGTAGTTTACAACCGCAAAGATTTATTTCTCATTCACTCTACCTGTCCAACTTAAGTCAATGGAAGCTTTCTTCAGGGTGGTCCTGACTCAGGGATACAGGTTGATGGAGCCTCTACCACCTGGAATGTCACTGGCCACCGTGAAAGAAGGGAACTTAGTGAACTGTGCTTGGATCCCTGGGGGGACGCTTCCACTCACATTTCATTGGCCGAAGAGTGTCAAAGTACCCCGCTTCACTTCAAGAGGACAAGGAAGTACAAATCTACCATGTGCCAGGGAGGGGAAGAACTGGACACGGTTGGTGTCCAGAATTAATGAGAATCAAGAATCTTAGCTTCTAGTCGGGGAGGGTATAACTCAGTGGTAGAGTGTAGGCTCAGCATACATGAGGTCCTGGGTTCCATCTCCAGTACCTCCATTAAAATAAATAAATAAACCTAATTACCCCCCAAAAAACCCAACCCCCCAAAATAAAAAGTAAAAACAATTTTTTAAATTAAAAAAAAATCTTAGCTTCTAGTCCTGGGTCTACTGTGCAATCTTGGGCAAGTCATTTGCCCTCTCTGAGCCTCAGTTGTCAATGTCTGTAAAAAGGAACACTAATACTTCCCTCAAATGTATGGTGGAGGGGACATTCAGGCTAGGCAAAATCTGAGTGTGTCCTGTACGCACATCTAGGGGCTGCAGGCGGGCAGAGAGGGCATCCCTGTCCCTCTGCCTGACTCCCTGAATTCTTAAGCATTTTCATTCCTTTCACTCCTCAAGCCCTCATCCCTCCAATGACACAGTGGGTCACAGAGAGCTCCCTGACAAATGGAGACAAAACCAATACTGCCAAGAGCTGATGGAGTTTGGAGCTTAAGTGTCTGCCTCACTCCTTGGCTGGCAGCCAGTACTCAGGTTTGGAGCCTCTGGGAGGCAGACTAATGCTCCCCTCTCCGAAGATGCCCATGTCCTAATCGCTGGAGCTTGTGAATATGCTACTTTACATGGCTAAAAAGATTTTGCAGATGTGGTTAAGGACCTTGAGATGGGGAGATTATCCTGGATTATCCAGGGGCCTAAGAAAATCACAAGAGGTCTTAGAGGATGGAAGAGGGAGGCGAAAGAGTCAGAAAAGTAGATGAGATGATGGAAGCTGGGGTCAGAGTGAAGCAATTGCTGGCTGGAACGACGTTATAAGCAGGCATGGAAGGCGGTAGACTCTAGAAGCTGGAAGAGGTAAGGAAATGGATACCCCCCAGATCCTCCAGAACTACCATCCTGCCAACACCTTGAATTTAGCCCAGGGCAACCCATTTCAGACTTGTGACCTCATGAACTGTGAGATAATAAATCTGTATTGTTTTAAGCCACTAAATTTGTGGTAATTTGTTATGAAAGTGATAGGGAACTCATATGGAGCCTGTGGGCTGGATGTGGAGGGCCGGGACTTGATACCAGACAGTTGCTACTGGCAAGTCACCCACCCTGGAGCTGAGAGAGGCTCTGGCAGGATCCCCCACTTCTCTCTGTCCATGGAGTTCCAGGTGACGTGCCCTAAGAGCAGCCCCTGGGGAAGCCCCAATGCGACTTTACTCTCCCTCATCACCCTTTCTGCCTCCTTTCTTCTCTTCTAGTGACTCTACCAACTTGCTACATGACCTTGAGCAGACCCCTTCCATTTGCAGACCTAGGTTTCTCTATACGAAAAAGGAAAGTAGGGATGGGCTAGGGGACCCTCTAGGGCCTTCCAGACCTGATGCGGTGAGTCAGCATTTCCAGGATGTGATGGGCCTACTGAAAGCTCTCTGATGATGCTTGTGAACTGTCTTCCATCCCCAGGCAGGTTTCCTCCAGAGAGCGCTAACCAGAATCTTCCCTGCTACTACAGACAATGCACTTATGCCCAAACACTGACCTCAGTTAAAAGACAGGGGGGACAATGCTTTATTGACTTGGCACCTATGAACTGGTGGCTACAGGCCCCCAGGGTTCTTTGCATCTGCAAAGTGGAGGTTCTGTGGTGGGAGCAGCGTAAATCAGAGATGCTGGTTCCAGCTGCAGGGAGGGGCCACTGTCCCTGCTTTGGCCCCTCCAGTCCCCTTGTCCAGCCAAGCACCATCTGAGTCTAGGCCCCCTCGGAGCAGGCCAGGGCCATGACCCAGGTTCTTCTGCAGCCCTAGGGAGTCTAAGGTAAGAGCTGTAGGCCTCTCCTGCCTGCCCTCTTCTTGGGGATCTCAGATGGGTTGGGGGAAGGGAGATGCCCAATTTACAGAGAGCCCCTGAACCTCCTGGACCAAGGTCCAGGAAGGCTGGGTTAGGGGTGTTGTAACAGGAATCCCACCAAAGAGGAAAGTTAGGAGTTATTCCCTTCCCACTATTTTCTGTTTTAGCTGAGCAGGAAATGGGAGCTTTCATTGAACTGGGCCCACATAGAGGATGACATACACTAAGTTAATGGAGTAGAGCCAGGCTATTCCAGGCAGGACCACACCGTCTGAGTAGGCTCTCTCCCAGGTAAGGGGAGGGAAGGGCAGAGTGAACTGCAATTGTCACAAGAGGAGGACTTCTTGGAGGAGGAGGGACAGGTCCCAGTAGGCTCCCAGAAGAGTTAGTCTGCAGAGTGGGCTGGGTCAGGTCACGACGGTCGGCACAGGACACTGGCATCCTCACTGTGGTCACAGTTGTGGGCATCCCAGCGGATGTGAGAGCAGAGCAGCAGGGCATTCTCATCCCCACGGCACTTGACATTGTCCAGGAGGATAGGCCCACTGCCTGGGCCAAAGTGGGCCTCACCAGGGGCTGCCAGGGCCTGACCACAGCCCAGCTGGCGACACAGGACACCAGCTGCCCGCAGGTCCCAAGCATCATCGCAAACAGTGCCCCACCGCTGCCCTAGGAAGAGCTCTACACGGCCCTCGCATTGGTGGGCTCCGTTGGCCAGACGTAGGTGACCTGTGGGGAGACAAGGCCTGGGGCTGGAAGGGGCCGGCCCAGGACAGGCACTCACTCCCAAGCTAGGCCAGGGAAGGGTAGACAGAGGAGGCAAAGGGCGGTGGTTTGGGACACAGCACTGCCCTGGGAGCCACTGGATAAGGGCAGACAAATGAGATTAAAATAGGATGGGCATCAGTCTAGACTCAGTCTCAAGATCAGAAGAACATGGACAAGCCTTTGTGGGGTGCTCTGTGCATGCTGGGAGCTTCACATCTGCTCTCTCCTTAGTCCTCTGTTCACAATCCCAATACCTCAGCCCCAGGGCTGCTCTCTGTAAATGGTGACTGTGTGCCCTTAAGGTCATCATCATCTTCCCTACCCCCTGGACTCCCCAGGCTAAAGCCTGAATTCTCCCATTGCTCTCCTCAGGTCAGGAGCCCCATCCCGTCATTTTGGTCCCAACTCTAGAAATCTCTAGATCGCTCTACCTTAAAACCCACCTCTCTCTTTCTGGACATCATACCTCTATTAATGAGGCCTGAGACCAGCACAAAAGGACAAAGGTTCCAGGATCTGGTGCATATGTGCTGTGTAACCCCAGGCTGTGCCCTCCCCTCAATTCTGGTCCTTCCTATCCTGATGCCTCCACCACACTCTTACAGGTTGTGGGTACCTACCGTCCCTGGGCCGAGGAGTGGGAACCCGCGTGGTCTCAGAACCATCCTGCTGGACTAGCTCATCTGGGCCTGCTCAGCAAGGACAAAGAAAGAGGTGGCTGTCACAGTGGGGAACTCATACCTTGTGCCAGGTCACCTCTTACCCTCCAAGGAAAGCCTGATCTAGGGTCAGAGAGGACTTCACAGGTACCCACTCCTTGGAACAGAAATGAGGGTTGTGCTTGTTTCATCCTGGGGCCCAAAGCAGAACCCTTTGTAGCCTAGCCCTTCCTGGTCAAGGCCACCAGGGCAGCAAACAAGGGTGAAGATACCAATTCCCGTACCAATCAATGAAGAGACGCATTTTAAAATGTGTCACACTCTGCAAACACTCCTTTTCCACTGACTCCTCCCAAAGGTCACACGCTTGCTGCTCGAAAGCTGATAAACTCTCTCTGCTAACTAGAGCTTCCCAGGTCCTTGATGCAGTAAAGCAAAAGCGCCCCGGCCACGCCCCTTACAGACTCCCACACTTAAACCCTTGCCTTCGGACTCTCACCTGGGGCCCTGCCCCTCACTGCCGCAGAGCGCGCGCCCTCCGCAGGCCCCGCCCCACTCCCTTACTGCAGAGGGCGCTCCCTTCCCGGCCCCGCCCACGCCGCGCAGCCGCAGAGCTCGTCGGTGATCGAGCTCCGCCTCTCTCTGCGGAGTGTGCGTTCTCTTCGGCCGCCCTCACGCAGCAGAGCCGCAGAGTCCTCACGCGAGACCCCGCCCGCGCCGCGCTGCGTGCCTACGCACGGCCCCGCCCATTCCTCAGAGCCGGCCTGGTCCCGCCTGCGCCGCAGTTGGCGTCTGCGCGCTGCCCCGCCCAACTCTCAGCTGTCCCTCTGTCCCGCTCCGGCCGCAGATCGCTTCTATGCAAGAGCCTGCCACGGCCTCACCTGAGCAGAGTGCGCCC